TGGGATGGGAGTGTCGGAGACAGTGCGATTGGCACAGGACAGAACAGAGTTTAGGGCTGTTGTACATAAGGTCGCTATGAGTCGTAAGCGACTCGATGGCACATAACAAGAACACAATTCTTGAAATGGAAAATATTACTGATTTCTAAGGGGGAAATCTCTAATTTTCATGTCTTATTTTACTTTGAGATATCCTGAAGTATTGTTCTTTTATAGCTTGGGGAACTAGGTATTCTAGATGGTGAAATGTATTATAAGTATTCTATCTGAATAGGGTGTTCTTTCTTCTAAACAAGGGCTGGATTCTACATTGATTCTGTGAATGTTCATTCCCTTTTTTGGAGAATAATGTTCTACTAGGTATAGAACCGATGCCTCTCTCTCTCTCTCTCTCTCTCTTTCTCTCTCAATATGTTTTAAATCTGATCTAATCACCCACAGCTCTTTGAGGTCAATGGAAATTCTGTAATCAGAGATATTCTAATGGCTGAGGCAGAGATGCTCAAAACAAGTAAGATAAACTGAAAGGAATACCAGGAGGGGTGGGGGAAGAGTACTTTATGAGAATATTTTCTTCTCTGGCTGGTGAGAGAGTCTAGTAAACACATCAGCAAACACGTGGCTAGTGTCAGTAGAGCAAATAAACAACAAGAAGGGCTTTATACAGTTGACCTTTGGGGGACCAAGGAGTGAAAGTTCATATATCAATGTAGAAATTACCCTGTCTCAACTGGTGATGTCAAGTTGGAATAAGGTAAATAAGAATTCAAAGACATAAAAGCTAACCTGGAACTTGCCGTTTGTTTTGGTTTTCTCATCCTAATATAAAGATACTTGAAAGATTATTTTGATTTTGATGTTTTGAGTTTCAGTTGAGTAATATTAACAGTCATGGCTACAAAGTATTTGCCATATTGTCATGGTGCATATCAATCAAAAAAACCCAACATGGTACTGGTACAATGACAGGAGAGGATGTGGAGAGATAGGAACTTTTATACATTGTTTGTGGGATTGTAAAATGGTACAACCATTCTGGAAGGCAGTTTGGTGAGTCTTTAAAAAGCTGAACAAAGACATTCCATATGACCCAGCTATTCTACTGCTTCGAATATACCCCAAGAGAATGAGAATTGAGACACAAATGGAGACTAGTACACCAATGTTCACAGTAGCATTATTCACCATCGCAAGAACATGGAAACAGCCCAGATGTCCAATCACAATCGAATGGATTGAGAAATTATGGTACATTCACATGATGGAATACTACACAGCATGCAGTAACAATGATTTTGTAAATTACTACCTAATTTGGGAGTGATTGAAGAGTATTATGCTAAGTGAACTAACTCAGTCTCATAAGGACAAATACTGTATATGACCATTATTGTAGAATGAGTATGAGGATTCAAGGTGGTGGGGAGATGGGAGGAGAGGAAAGAGAATGGGTATGGGTGCGGGGGACAGTAATCATAGGGTCATGCAATTTGATGGATGGAAGAAGGAGTGTATGAAGGAAATGAGAAAGATCTGGTTAGAAAAACAATGTATATGAACTTTGTAAATAAGCCAGTATAAAATAAAAATTAAAAAAATAAGTAACAGTATATATTATTCTACTATACAATGTTATCAAGTGCTTCCACACAGAGGCTACCAAACTTTGAGACGTCTGTATTGTCCAAACATAAAATTAACAAAATAGCCCACTATGTAAAGAGTATTTTTAGTTAACAAACACAAAAGATATGCTTCATAGCTAGCTAACAAACAGGAAGAGGCTGCTTCATAGCAATAATGATGCCTGGAAAGAAAGACTATTATGATATAATTTAGTAATTTTTATGTAATTTATCAAACTGGCATAGTAGGCATACCTTTATAACTAAAACATTAAATTCCTAACTCTCTTGCTTTTTTATTAGGATTAACTTTCAAATATTAGGATCATATAAATTATTAACACAGATAGTATTCCACATACAAAATCCATTCACTGCTTTTTAAAATATTTACAGAGTCCTACGTCTCAAATTAACTATCAATCAGGAAAAGTGAAAATATTGCTATTAGACCAAAAAGATGAAATTCAAACTTAGAAGAAAAGTACAAAGGGCTTTCCATGATATAATTTTAAAACTTAACCCAATTTGAAAAGCTCTTTTTTCTTCTCTTGATGAAATTTTAGTGAGTTTATTCTTATTTAAATTTATATTTAATAACAAATGATTTTTACTTCACACATCTGCTTTTGTTTCTAGATGAAAAAGACTGAAAGCACTAAATCCTGACAAAAGTATATTTCTAAATATCAATAATAGATATGAAGATATTTTAATAATTTTGTTTCTCATTTTACAGGAATTTTTTTCAATAATATAAAGAAAAACTCATTTTCTTTGCGTTTTTCATATGGTATGGCACATGGTATTCTTATTTAAACTGTGTATCAATGGGGGTCAATAGTGAAGTCTAGAAATGCTGCCAAACTCACAGAAGCCAATAAAGTCACAAGAATGAGTGGAAACGTTAATATAAGGCAATTTCTAACTCAGCTTAAATTACATTTTTTAAGTATTAAAGCAGAGATCATAGAAGATATTTTAAGCCTATACTTGTTCTGTTAATATAGTTAAGTTTTTAAAGCAAAATGTATTTATCAAATTAATAATAAATTTGTGCTCTCCAAGAAAGTAAGATAAGTTTAAGGTCACAGAAGGATCTTATGTCTATGACATTGCTATAGTCTACCTATTTTGAAGGGAAGTTTTCTTTTGTTTTAGAATTTTAACAAATAGATGTTGAAATACATATTTCAAAGGACAGGAAAACTACCCAAATTCCAACTTTATTGCTTATAAATACAGAGATTTTGGAGCAAATGCATGCGTACTTGCAGATCAAGGTCATCATGGTAAGAATTTACTAGTAGTTGTTGTTAAGTGCCCTCAAGAGGAATGTAACTCAACGATTCTATAAACAGTCAACCTGAACCCTGCCCTATCCTGTGCCATCCTCATCAGCTGGGACATAGTAGAGCCCATTGCTTCAAAGTAATCTTAAATTCTATGTCTTTTAACTCTCTTCTTTCTTGTAAGGAAAGGAGATTGGCACAGGATACTTTAGGACTGTTGTACATAGGGTCACTATGAGTCACAAGTGACTCAACAACACATAACAACAACAAGGAAAGGTGATAATATTTATCCAAAGCAGTTCTTGAGCAATGCTTTACAATTAACATTTATATATAATACTGGTAATGGCTAATAGCCAAGGAGACTAAAATGCAGACATTTCCAAATACTAAATAATAGTGTGAGAACTCAAGCAAAATGTGCCTCCATTAACTATGCCAACAGGGCTCTAAAATTCTTAATAGTGTTAAATGACCAACCAGGTTGCATTAAGAAACTTGAAATGCTTGTTGTTCAGACCCATAAACATCTTTTTCTTTCTTCCAGAATCACTGAATCAATTTTGAGAGCTGAGTTTTTTTTTTTTTCAGGAGGGGGAACTGCAGAGAGGAGTATGTGTTGATGATGTTTTTATGTATCATCAAGTCAGACCAACTCACAGGTCCATCAGTGTGTTTTCAGACACAGTAACTTGTACCTGTAATCTTTATCCAATGGAGTAGCTGGTGGATTTGAACCACATGTCTTTGGCTTGGCAGCACCACTCTATACCAAAAAGCCACCAGAGAGCTCGTGTGTGTGTGTGTGTGTGTGTGTGTGTGTGTGTGTGTGTGAGAGACAGAGAGAGAGAGAGAGAGAGAGTTGTTTTCAACATTATTTTAATATCTTTTAAAAACATTTTTCATTCTATCTCTTAAGAATTATGACTTACTTTGTTTTCTTTATAAATACCAAATCCTCATGTACATTTTGCGGTTATAAGGAATAATCCCATGTATTCATAATTTTTTTCCTAATTAAAATGTAGCTAAGAAAAGATTCAGTTCATGTGTAGAAAGGATTATTTCAGTAGTCATAAATGAAGTGCTATGTCCAAGGCTATTTCATCTTACTACTTACTTAAAACAAATAACAAATTATGCACTAAATAAGATTTTGCCAACAATAGTTTTAAGACCAGGATCTGTTCAGGCAATGCTTATCAACAGGTTTCGTTCATTGCCTGGTGAAACAAATTACTTCTCTGGCAAGATTTTAAACCAACACACTGGATTTGGCCAGTTTAGACACAGTACTTTTTGGGTGTAAATATTTTTAATTTCTAAAACCTCTTACTCAATTATACTTAATCAAAAGAACTATGTAATATGTGCAATGATAATAAAAATAGCACATAACCTAGTTTTTAAAAAAATTCCCTCTGTGCTTCTGTTGTTTATATAAAGCCCGATGCATCTATATACAATAAAATCCTCAAAGTTAATTCATCAGCATCTTCCAACATAATCCAGCTCCTAGGGGCGATTCCAGCCATGGGGGTCTTACCTTTGTGGGCTTGTTAGCTTCCACGCTTTCTCTGAATTTCTCCTGCATAGTTTCTGCAAGCTGGCAGAGCAAGGCACCATTGTCCAACTTCTCCATAAAGCTTTCTGCTGTAATCTCCTTCCCTGAAATAACAAAGAAAAACCAAATAAAACTGTCTCAACACAAATGCCACATTCCTGCTAAATAACATATTTGACAACATTTTTTATCAGTAAAAGTCAATGTCAGCTGAGTAATGTATCTGGGACAAGAGCTTTCTAAGAAAATGCATTTGATTTTCCTTGGAATTTTATATTTGCCTTTATTAATAAGAATGATATTTAACATTATTTTCATACAGTTATTCCTATATGAAGTGTTATTTCATTTACGCCTATTGTAAAGGTGGGAAAATATTCTGGCTGAAAAGTCCCGTAACTTATCAATAAAGAGGCTGAAAACTACAAAGCTAATGAGTTGTTATTATCAATGACTATAGTTTCTGTGATCTGTACAATTTGCACTTTCTGTGGCCCATATTAGCCACCACTACATAAAGTAGAATGGTGTATAACAATTTCTGCTTGTGTAGCTCTACAATCAACACTCTTGGCACCAACAGTCAAGAAATTAAAAGATAAATTTCTCTGGAGAAGGCTGCAGTTAGAAACCTCTCCAAAGTGCTGAAGAGCAATGATATCACTCTAGAGGTTAAGGTATGCCCGATTCAAGCCATGGTCTTCAAAATTACTTTCTATAGATAAGAAAGCTGGACAATGACCAAAGATGACAGAAGAAGAATTGATGCCTTTGAGTTGTAATCCTGGAGAAGAGTACTAAACATACCATGGGCTGCCAAGAGAACAAATAGGTTTATCCTAGAGAAGGTGAAACCAGGTTGCTCCTTGCAGGCAAGGATTTTGAAGCTCTATCTTACATGCTTTGGGCATGTGGTCAGGTGGGATCAGTCCCTGGGGAAGGACATCATGCTTGGAAGGGTGAAGGGACAGCACAGGAGAGGAAGACTCCAGATGGGAGTCCCCAATGACTGAGATAATAGGTATGTCGGAATCATTGAGACTGGCTCAGGGTTCAGAGCTATGTCCATAGAGTCTCTATGAGTGGTAGGTGACTCAATAGCACATAGCGACAACAATAACAAAAAATAAATGTGTATGATCTCTAATCTAAAATAATAAAATAACTAGATATGATATATTAAAAAATCAACCACCATTGTCAACTTTAATAGTGTGGTGTACATAAAGCTGATCACTAAATTCCATTGAATTGATAAAAGTCTCCACAGGAAATGTCTTTGTAGCCATTCTCATTCCTACTATAGTCACTGACAACTGGAATCATCAGGTTAAGAGTTTGGCTTTTTTCTCCACCAAGTTCTCCTCCAAGCTTCAACCACTGCTGTTTATGTACATAAGTCACAGTTACTCCTCTTTGATTTATAACTGATTTTCACCGAACATATGTTTTCTTCCTTTCTTATATGTCCTCCCAAGGTTAATTTATTTCCCCCTCCATGTCCATCTCCCTCTTCCTCTTTCTCTCTCCCTTCTCTCACCCCTTTCCCCCTTCTCTTCCATAACACTCACGCGTCATAACGACAGCATTTTTTAGATCTCATTCACATGCCCACTTACAGTGTATAAGTAAATTAGTTTCAGTAGATTCACAGAGTTGTACAATCAGTACTACAGCCAATTTGATAACATTTTCATTATTTAGAAAAGAAAAGCTGTAACTTTTAACCATACCTCAGTACTTATACTCCCTAACCATGTTAGACAACTACTGATTGCTTTCTTACATGTTCCCTGAAATTCATCCCTTCAAAAATATCTTCCTACTTAAATTTTTGAACACTTTTGTTTTTTCTTCAAGTCAGAGCTGACCTACAGCAGACCCTCCTGCAGGTCTTCAGGAACAGTAAATCACAAGGGAGGAAACCACTCATCTTTCTCTGGTGGAATATCTGGTTGATTCAAACTGTGTCCTTTTGGGATTGCAGTGCAACTTCCTGTCACCTGGCCACCAAAGCTCCCTTGAGCTCTCGAAACATTATATTGTCTTCATTTCTTATAGACTCAAGTTGTATAGATTCAGGCTTCCTTCAGTTTCAAGTGCCATAGTTTTAATAAAAACCTTCATGATCTGTAGCTAAACAGCTAGCAACAAAAACAAGACGAATGTGTCCTCATTTCCCACAGAAGTAAAATTTCCTAAACATTATCCTCATTAGATAATTCTTTATCCTGAAGCCTTTAATACAAGGCTTAATACAATGTCTAGTCATTCTTTAGCTGGAAGATGTACTCTATCCACTTTGGTCCACAAAAATTCTCCCAAATACCTCTATTACCTCTTTCACTACAATTTTCTGACTTAAATGTTCCTTGGTCTGTAGTCTAACTCCCAGGTTCCTCCAGCAGAGTCTTCCTATTGCTCCTTCCAAGCCTTTGCTTCTATCATGGTTTCTACAAGCACTGTTTGATTAAGTTAATTCTATTGAGGTTTTTGCCCTTTTATTATTTTTTTTAAATTAGTTTGCTTACAAAGTTCATATACATTGTATTTCACACTATTCTTCATTCACCTTGTGTTTCACATAATCATGCTCATGTATCATAGTTTACAAAAGTAAACCCCTCGTCCATCATTCACCCAGATCCTTCTCATATCCTTCACCTCCTCCCTCCACCAACCAAACTGCTACGCTATGGTTTCGCTCCTCTCCATCCTCACCCCTTTATAAGACCATTATTGTAAAAATAGAAGAGTAACTAGTAAATGAAATCTATGGGGTTTTTTAATAGCTAGAGAAACTAGCTTTCCCAGAAGGCATCTCCTTCATCTACATTAGTGTTAGTGATTTTTGGTTGTTGTTTGGCTGTAAATTGTACTCATTTACTTTGGCACTTATCAAAAGGGTCCATCTGTCATTGTTAATGTATCTTGAATAACGTCCTTTTCTATATTTGTATGCTGTAAATTATTTGAAGTCCTTTTTTTCCCTTAAGAATATAATTCTACAGAGGCAAGCACTGTATTTCACCTAGTAAGTGTGCTTAATAGATAACGAATTAACAAATTAAGAGTTTAACTACTGATAAAGTAAGAAACTATGATGGATATGATATTTTGAAACACAATCTAAGAAACTAAAACAAAAGGAAAAGAGGTATTTAAAGTTGTATACTGAGACTCACAGGCTCACTGAGTAGTTATTTTATTCTAAGAAAAATGCAAGTAGCTCAATTCTTAAATACAGCCCAAGAGGAAAAACAAACTACTTGCTTTAAGTCAAATGCATAATATTAAATACATTTGGATTTTAGGAAACAGGAATTTGAAATTATTTTTTTCTCATTTTTGGAGGAAACAGTAAAGAGGAGAAAATATTTTTCATGTTCTATTTTCTCTACTGAGAAATTCACATTTTAGGACCCAGTTAGGATAATGACTTTTGCAGGTAACAAAATATCAGTTGTTCTAAACTTTCACTATATAGGAAACCCACAGAGAACTATTATTATTTGAAAATCACATGCAGCTCAATTCCATTCAGAAATGAAATAAACGTCTCTAGCTACACAAAGCCAGTATAACAAGATTTGTAGTTTATAGTCATCATATGGCCCTGCAATTTGAATAAGATCTTTACAAATAGGTAAAAAAAAATACTCATTGTTGTTGTGTGTTGTCGAGTTGCTTGCGACTCTTAGTGACCTTATGTACAAAAGCCTGCTCTATCTTGTGCCAACCTCACTGTCTCCAACACACCTAATCCCACTACACCAATCATTGAATTGATCCATCTCATCAAAGGTCTTCCTCTCGTGCACCATCCCTCTACTCTCCCAAATATGACGTCCCTCTCCAAGGACTGGTACCTCCTTGCAACATGCCCAAAGTCTGTCAGATAAAGCTTCAGAATCCTTGCCGCCGAGGATTTCACCCTCTCCAGGACAAACCTGTTTTCTTTCCTAGCAATCCACACTATAGTCAAAATTCTTCTCCAGTCCCAGAGCTCAAAGGCATTTATTCTCTTTCAATCATCCCTAGTCACTGTGCAGCTCTCCGATGCATAACACACAATCGCGAAGATTATAGTCCAAATCCAGTGCACCGTATTCTCCAGCCTGATGTCGTTGCTCGTCAGTACTCTTGAGAGGTCCCTGACAGCTGACTTTTCCAGTGCAATTCGTCTCTTGATTTCCTGTCTGCGGGTACCAAGAGTGTTGACTGGAGCTAAGCAAACTAAAACTGTTAAGTATCTCAATCTCTCCATCATCCATACTGATGCTGCTAATTGGCCCAGTGGTGAGAATCTTTGTTTTCTTGATATTGAGCTTCAATTCATATTGAAAGCTATAATCCTTGACCTTCTGCAACATGCACTTCAGGTCCTTCTCAGTTTCAGCAAGCAGGTTTGTGTCATCTGCATAATGCAGGTTGTTAATGATTCTTCCACCAATCCTGATGCTACATTCCTCCTCATACAGCCAGTGTCCCAGATGATCTGTTCTACATATAGATTGAAAAGGTATGGAGACAGAATACATCCCCGGCTGATGCCCTTCCCATTTTTGAACCATGCAGTGTCTCATTGCTCTGTTCTGACAACTGCCTCTTGCACAGTTAAGTACAGGTAAGTAAGTTTTTAAAATTATGCTTCCTATAAGTGTGCTTAAATTTCAATGTGAAGGAAAACTATACTCTAGATCATTGAATTATTCCTTTATAAATTGCCAAGAATATCTACACATGGAACACATATTTATATAATCTTACTTCATTATATTCTATGATAACTTAAAAATTTCATTCACAATATGCTAAAAGAATAACAATTAACTCAAAAGAATTATAAATGGCAAAAAAGAAAAATGGCCTACTTTAGAAACTCATTAGCAGTTTACTGCAAGGTAAGGTTTTTACTTTTCATACATTATATCTGAAGAAATTTTTGTTACCCAGCTTTTTATGAACACTTGAAGAAAAAAATTTACACTGAACATCTGTATCTAATGAAAAATATATTAGGTGTCAGCTTTCAATTCTGTACATTTTACAGCTCCAAAAGTTGGGATATTTTTGGCTAATACAGACACTGTTACATACTTTA